ACACTAGTGTGGGACCCGCCCTGACCCTAGGATCAGCACATCGGGGAATTACAATCATTCGGGGTGAAAATCTTTCACATACTCTAATTGTAAAGTATTTTGGTGGTTTCGAGGAAAAGTCATAAGATGTGCAAACATTTAAGCTTGGCGCAAACTAGGCCGGCAGGGCGACGCGGCGCAGCGCGGCTCGGAGCCGGAGGAAGTTGCTAGACTTCTGGAACCCGGCCCTGCGCCGCGCCTCGCTACCGGCCTAGTGTGCGTCGGGGCGGTCGGAAATCTTTGAGTTTGGGTATATCCGGCTGCCCTCGGACGTCATATTTGTAAAGACGAAGATAACGATTGTAACGTGGGTACTCCTGGAAATGCAAAATAAACACTAAACCGCAGCCCTAGTCCGCCCCCCTGGGAAAATTCGACCATCGTGGCCGAGAACAGTTCCTACGTAGTGTGAGGGCCTTCACAATTCCGCGCCGCGCCGCACCACCGACCTAGCGTGCGCCCAGCTTTACAGGGTGAGTATCGCAAACTGTTTCCACATGATTGTTTTGGGGTAAATTCTTTTTCTTTATTTTAAAATGTTAAACCTCACTGATCCTCACTGATATGAATAATTTGGTTCCTGAATGATTGTATAAATCACATCAATTTTTGTATCTTGCGACTTACTTGGATAATATTTTTATACTGGATTGGTTGAAACTATCCGATAGCAGTCCTGACTTCATAATGTTTGGTTCATCAGGTCTAGTACAAAATAATGGATAGGAACCGGGGAAACTCGGGAGCAGTAATCAGAAGGATGGAGTCACCCTCCGGGGAATGTCGACCAATCACCGTATAAGGTGGCACTAACTAACTTTCAACCCCTCCTTTAGCCATTCCGCCGGGTAAATATAATAAAATTGGCGACACTATTATAGCAGGGAAAATCGAACCTCATCATTTTTTTCTATTGGCTCAACAACACTTAAATGCGTCCGTTGCATTTTAACACTCGAGGGACGAACTGCCGACGGGAGGGTTATGGCAAAATTACTGACGAAAAAAACGATTATGTCTGAAAATTGATCAACATTTATCACCGCCAGTCGGTTTATTGCTCAAAATCGATCATGAATCAGGTGAAGCGCATAACTTCTCTGAAGTTGTGTAGGTGTTCATAAAACGGCTCATCCTTGGAGTAGCCATCAACAAGACGAGCTCAAGTTATAGCTTTCTGTTAAATCTATAGTTTTTAAAGTTTAATGTATTAATTCAACAAAGAAAGTGTTTTAATTTTACACCGATGTTGATTTTCTTCAAGTCTGGTAGTAGTAAATTCATTTTGCCTGTTTACCCCTTTTGAAAAATTTGAATATCAATCGACCCTTGATCCCGTTAGCCCACCTTCCTTGCAATGTTTTCCTTGCCATCCAAGAACAGTTTCCTGACATTTTTTACTGTTTTACAGTTCTACTACGTTAAACTGTTTTACTCAACAATTTCTACTCAACGTTCAAGTATCAGGTTTTAGTTGATGATTTTCTTAACGTAAACCATCTTAGTATATTACAGTTATTGGTATAAAAGTATACAACATGGAGGAGGATGAGAGGAAACTAGTAATGTACGCGTACTAAAGCGTAAAAGGCGGCTGCATGAGGGAACGGATGGAGGGTGGAGAAGCAGCATCTTTCAGAACACACTCTCAAAAGCATCTCAAGGAAGAGACACAAAGTGGTTATTAATTGTAAACGGAAGGAAGGGATGTAAGGAATGGAGAAGAAAACTGAATACTAACATAACACGCTTGGACTTTTCTACGTTCAAGTTAGGCCATTTTTAGCACCTCTGGAGATAATTGAGTTTAACCCCTCCTGAATTCTTAAAATTGCAGCTTGTATGTTAGGAGGCGGCAGGGGAAGTAAATTTTGGAATCGTATGCATAAAGCCGATTGGAAGAATATTGTTTATATTATTAGCAAATAAAGTAACAAATAGCATATTTCACTCAACAACAACAGTGTTATAGAACAACTAGCATTTGACATTTTTACTACTCGACTGCAACTCAATGACTGAATGACAGTTTTTCTTATACTTCCATGTTACTCAATCATGCAAAGATCTAAACGGGGAACACACTTACCCGATGCAACGCTACGCGTCGCTACCCGATGTTACCCGACGCAAATCCAAAGACCAATTTTACATAAGACTGTATTATCCCCTTGCACATCTGCCCGATCCAGGCAACGCTGCCCTACTCTACGCTACGCGATCCCCACTGTCCAGATTTTTGTCGCGAAGCATCGAGTACAGTCGAAGACAAAAGAACCGGATACTCATATTTTTATTTCGAACTATATCTATTATTGTCGTTATATTAATTACAACATGCTTATTTTAACATGAGCCAAAATTATGTGAGATCAAAAATTCATTAGTTTTTATTTAATAAAATTAATTTTAATGATTGGGCAGAAAATTGATTAAAACACCGGAATACCATTTGTTGATAGAATGAATTTAATTAACATAGATTTGCTCATCAAATTTAACTAATATTGATTACACGATTTTGCTCATAAAATTTAACTGACAATTTATTTTATGGATTTGCTTTAACTAACAATTTATAGCTTTGTTTTTCGTTTGTTTTTATTTGCTTAGCTTTTCACAATAACTAACAATTTATTACATAGTTTGGCTCATCAAATTAGACCATTTTCGTCAAGTAGCGCCAAAACCGTACACTCATATTTTTTGTACTTTATTTCAAACTAAGTATATGTAATTTTGTCGTTATATTTTATTTTAATAAAACATTTTTATTTCAATGTACCAAATTAAACTAGATCAAAAATTCATGGGTTTTTATAAAAATTATTTAATTATGATGGTTAGGAAGAAAATTTATCAAAACACCGGTATAACTTTATTTAAAAGTTAAAATTAAGTTTAACAAACAATTTATTAAGTAGTTGTGCTCATAAAATTTAACTGACAATTTATTTTATGGATTTGCTTTAACTAACAATTTATAGCTTTGTTTTTCGTTTGTTTTTATTTGCTTAGCTTTTCACAATAACTAACAATTTATTACATAGTTTGGCTCATCAAATTAGACCATTTTCGTCAAGTAGCGCCAAAACCGTACACTCATATTTTTTGNGGGAATGAGTGGATAGGGCTCGAGCCGTATGGTTAGGATGGTTTGAAAGGTTGGTGTGGAAGGTTTGGAATCTGGACTGGATTAGCTCGTTGGCAAAAGGAATGTTGAGGTCTTTTTGCTCAAAATAATGCATTAAGAACAAAAGAGGCGTTGCGATTGTGAAAGTGATTATTGTGATACACGCTGTGTGACTACACGTGGCGTGCGCTTGACGTCGCATAGATGTGCACACCCTACCAAAACGTGGCAAGGCGTCGGGTAGTGTGTTCTCCGCGCTACTCAACTTCAAGCATGTACAATTTTTTGAGATGTAATCTGGGATCTGCAGGGTAATGACCCTCTGTAATTCAGTCGTTTGTTAGCTCGTCGACAAACTTCCATTTATACGTGAGTTGTGCCGGATGATATAGTGCTATCATTCTTTAATTATCATTCTTTTCTGTGGCTGAGGATGTCCTTGTCTTCTTACTTTCTATCGGTGGTGACGTATGATGTGGGCTTAGGGTGCCCTGACGTCGTCCTGACCTTCTTTGTAGTGGTTCTTTGTAGTTGTAATTCAGTTAAAAATGCAATACGAAGGTTGGCTGAGTTTTGGCCATAAATTGCAACACAGTAACACGCTATGAGCAGATTTTATAGTTTGATGAGAGTTTATGAGCTCAATTCATGTTTGTTTTCGCTATTCTGCTTTTCTAGAAACGTCACTTATTTGTTTCACATAGTTAACTGGGTCAAGTTGTCTTTTGATAGCAACACTAAAAACAAGATTTTGAAATCTGGCATGATAAATTAACATTCAACGTTCACATAGAAACCATTTGATAAAGGACATCAATTATTGTTTATGTTATCAGTTTTATTATTTTATTATCGTTAATTCCATTATATTTCGTGGTCCGATTGACCAAATAACATCTTTCAATTTATTAATTTTTCTGTAAGGTATTGGCTGAAATGAAACAGTTAGCGTCACGAGCGGGATTCAAACCCACGACCTTCGGCTAGATACGCCGCTGCTCTACCACTTGAGCTATCCTCGTTGAGATGGGAAGTGTCCGATTGGATTGAAGTCACGATAGCCCAAGTGGCCTATCGGCTTATTTAGCCGAAGGTCCTGAGTTCGAATCCCGCTTGTGACACTAATTTTTTCATTTCAACCAATACCTTACATAAAGATTAATTCATTATCGTTAATGTTTATATACTTTAATGTTTTTTATGATTTAAGTGTTTCTTTATCTTTTTTTTTGTAAATATTATAATAAAATTGGTTATTAACCGTTTATAAATAAATAAAACTGTAGAAAATAGTATTACAATGTTTTTTGTTTCAATGCATTGTAACAGTGGAAATGTTGAAACATTTATAATGAGCTGTAGACCACCTTTTTTTCGTTTTCCTTAAAGGGGGTGTTAAGATAATTGTGACGAGGCATCCCTCGGCGGATTTACCGCTAATTGGAGAATTACTTAATTTAATTATTCCTTCCTGTTAGATAAAGGCAGGATCCGGTTGTTTTGTTCAATTTAAAACGTAGACGTCGAGAATAAGACGGTGAGGAGCTGGAAAGGGGATTAAGCGGAACAAATTCATTTCGGAAACTAAGATGGTTTCATTACAATACTCGCAAAGCCGGATTCTCTCCTTGCTCTGACACTCAGATTTCACTAATTTTACCTTAATAATTTGTTATAATATAAACAAATCAATGAAAGAGATATTCGCTTTGAGTGGATTTTACCCAATAATATTTATTTCATTTTATTTACAGAAAGTTTTCCGTAGTGTTAAAAATATACAGGAAATGTCCAGTTAACCGTTGCCAATTAAGATACAAGTTGATGGTTTAACAGCTGTTAATTAGCATCAGGTGGCGTATTATTAAACCACTCTAGTACTCGAATGGACTCAGAACACGAATGGCGTGTCCGTAAAGGAGGGGCCGGAATTTAAAACGACGGGCACGGAGATGAATTTGAAATAACCGGGTTCTTCTTCTAACAGAAAGGATGTCTCAAAGAAGCGACGACACGACCAAAGGAGGCTGCTGCTTCCCAGGTCTGTTTGCGGATAAAGCCACCCGGGCTGATGTCAGAAGAGCCTTTTACAGGATCTCGCAACTGGAAAAAAAAATTAATCAAATCACCAAGGAACAAGGTCAGCTTCGTTTCCGATTCTTTAAATTATTTTTAGATTTCCCATTCAAAAGCTGCTTAGATTTCCCAGTCTTTTGTACAACACTGTCGAATTTTGTTTCGTTATTTTTAACAAACTTACTTTTATTATTTAAAATAATACACTTTTTGTTCAAGTTTGAGCAAGCTTAGTTAAAGTTAGCTTTTTCAATATAACAAGCGTAAATACATCTTCTTGCATATCACCAGCACTACATTTTTCTAGTAGTTATTCCCCTTGACCTACCAGAAGAAACTGCTAATTCCAATTCGATTTATTTATCAAAATTCTCATTTTTCTAAATTTATTAACAGAATTAATTATCTTTAAAATGATTATTTGGAGATCGTGAGATGCGGTCTGATGTGTGACTTGCGCTTACTAAAACTTAAAATACTTTGAGCCTAAAATTTCTAGCATTGTATAAATTCACTTTTTTCACATCCTAGATGTATTTGTATAATTTAAACAATGCTTATAAATCCCAGGCCCTGAAGATGATCTCAATAAAGATCGAAACGTTGGCACGATAAAGAAAATGTTTTTCTAAAACCTACGTTACACCAGACCGCATCTCACGATCTCCAAATAATCATTAACTAACGGTCACTAAACACCACACATATCTTTAAAATGTAATTAATCCTTTCTTGCTCAATGCTTAGGCAAATTTGCTAAAGCGTAGCTGATGCTATGACCAGTATTGGCAACACTGATTTTTTCGGCGCCAATCTAAAATCTCCATCTTTAATCTCAAATCTTCACCCCACTGTGTCTTGTATCGATTTTTTATATTTTCTAAACAGAAAATTTTTCAAATCCAGTTTATAAGGGGCTTTCTTGCCCGAAGTTGCTTAAAAAAATAAAACTTTTGCAATTTTGTTTAAGGTTGGCAGGAAATTTTGTAGGTGTAGGGCGGACGCATTGTTTTTCCTTCAATATTTCTGCACGTGTACTGTCAACATGATTGTGATTTCCGATAACCTTTTAACCAAATTGGTAATGTGCTCGTCTTGCTCTAAGATTGTGATAAGCTACTTATCACTGCTATGCGAACATAAACTACCTAGCGAACTACTAGTCGAGAGAGTAGCCAGCTGGTTATCCGTGTCAACATTCTCGTTCCGAGTTACCTAACTCCACACCTGTTTAGTTTCCTTAGGTTACCTAAGAATATGTTAACAATTTATTGTGTTCGTTCTTCAATTCCGAATGTTATTGGAGGTGGAATAATTACTTTTTCAATTACTTCAAAATAATGTTACAGTTGAGCGATATATCTATTTTAAAAGTTTTCGTGTTCCTTTGCAGAAAAATTGAGCTTTAATAAATCATCGTCTAAAATTGATAAAAAGAAGCATAGAAAATGCACGAAAGGAGAAAAAGAGATGCGAGACGCATCTAGTTCTGGGTTGTTCGTTCATGCTGCTGAGTCTGTGTACGTCAAGAGAGAGGAAGATGCGCCGTCACTTATCACGTTGCCTTGCGGTTGCGTGTTGGAAAAAAGGACTCTGTACGCGACCAGCGAGGTGGAATATAATGAGAAAAACGTCCCGAAGAGTTTATCCACCTGCGGCTGTGGCTTAACGGAATGCAAAGCTGCGCCTTCGGTGTCACAGCAGAAATGCCAGTTGGATTGTGTGGATGTGAAATCTTGTACTTGCCATACGGTCGTGGAGAAATCATCTTGTCATAGTCACAAAGGCATTATTAACATTGTCACCGAACAACACGCTCCACCAGAATACGCCCCTTTAAAGTCAATTCGCAGCTGCGTGTGTGGCCAGTCAAACTCGTCTCAAGTAAGATAAGCAGTAATAAAAATAATAAATGTAATAGTAAAAATTGGGTATAGTGAGGGAAAGTGAACGAGGGATATATATATATACACACACACTCTCTCTTTCTCTCTCTCTCTCTCTCTCTCTCTCTCTCTCTCTATGAAAAAGAGCTAGTCAGAAAACAGCCCGAGACAGAGAGTAACAACAGAAAAGTACAGCACATAGCAAGAGATATTAGATAGAGCGCGACAGTGTGATAGCGATATAGGAGAAAGAAAAAAAAAAGAGTTGGANAAAGAGAGAGGGGGTGAGATAGGGGAGAAGGGAGAGAGAGGGAGGGTGAGAGAGAGATGTGAGGGAGAGGAAAGGAGAAAGAGAGAGAGGGAGAGAGATGGTGAGGGAGAGAGCGAGAGTGAGAGAGGGAGGCAGAGAGGGAGAGAGAGATGGTGAGTGAGATAGAGAGAAAGAGAGAGGGGGTGAGATAGGGGAGAAGGGAGAGAGAGGGAGGGTGAGAGATTGGTTAGCTAATAGTCAAGTTTTTACGTGTCATAGTGATACAATATCATTAACGGGATGGAAGGAGAGTACCTCTATGTTTTTGTGAATTTTATTTTCGTTATACCTACTAATACTTGTTGATAAAACTGATAATTTTTAACTATTGATTTTTCAATATCTCTTAAGACAGCGTGCAGGGGCGGAACCCAGTCGTCAGAAAATTGTTTGAAATCGGCGACTGTTACTGCCTCGACACAAACATGCCGGGGACATCCTCCTCGAATTGGCGATGAATCCGAAATGAGCGTCGGATATGGTGAACAGCAGCAGAGGCGAGCTGCCGTTTGCAGAAACAGAAGGCCGAAATTAGCGTTAGGGGTGTTAAATAATCGTTACAAACTGTCTCAAACGCAATTACCTTACGCGCCATTACGCAAAGAATGCGAGGAAGTACCTTCGGGCGCATTGTTGACCCCTGAGGAGTGTGAATCCAAACTCCAATCCAGCAATCAACAACCCGCAATTTTCGAAAAATCACCGTGGGGGTGGAGTAAAAAACGAACAGACAAGAAAAACAAAAAGAGACGACCTAAATTTCAACCGGGTAAAAGCTCATATTTTCCCTCTCGTGTCAATACGCTGAGCAGCAAGTCGTCGAGCGAGGCATTTTTGAATTCTTCAGAAGACCGTCAGTCCAATAAAAGAAAGAAAAATAAACAGATCAAGGCTTTTGTCACACCCGTGGATAATAAAAAAAATATGGTAAAAATAGGTAACGCCTTTTTAAAATTTAAAATTCTGCAATAATCTTTTTTTTTAGAGTTGAACTGGAGAAAATGAAAATGAAAAAATAAATCCAGCCCAGCTGAGCTTCTTTCAGTTCAGGTCAGTCAGAATTTTTTACGATAAATTATCAGGTAAATTTCTCTAACAAATTAATTTACTTATGTGATAAAATGACTTTTGCGTAGAATATCATGTAAATTTACGATTTATTAATTAAGATAGGGTGATAAGATTTTAAAACATGACGATAGCTTTCTAAAGCAACTTTATCACACGTTAGTCTAATGTTAAATGAACTTTACTGCGATGTTATTAACGACAGCTCATACTCAAATCCAAAATAAACCTTTTCTATTTTTATGAAGAAGGGATAAAAAATAATCAGTGAAAAAAAATTAATTCAACAAATTCACAGACGGATTCTTTGTTGTCTTTTGGTTTATTTAAGTACTATCGTTTTTCAGCATAAGTCTTTATAAACTGTACGTACCTTCGGGGTGGACATGGATAATATAAACGAGAAAAACATTACGGTTTTTTATATATAACATAAAAAGTCCGTCTTGAGGATAATCGAATTCTCTGGGCGATGAATGTAATTAGATTTCTAGGTTTGTATATACCCAGCCCCAAGAAACACCCAGGACTCTGGGGTGAATGTGTGAGAGGTGTTGAGGTGTAGAGACGAGACTTCTACGTTTGTGGAGGATGATATTTATCGGTATATATTGTATACTGATGACTATTCTGCAGTTGACAACCTGAGGTACAAATGAGAGTCTAACATTTTAATATATAGACTTTTGTTAGTCTTCATACAAAAGCAGAGTCAGTAACGCACGAATGGCTGCAGATTAAAAACTACAGATGAAAGACGAGGAAAAGAGGTACAAGTTTTTCGGTCACTAGACTTACTTCATTAACTAAGGTGTTACAAAGCATTAAATAAACAAATATATAGTTAAATCAGTTAAATGTCTTGAGATTCTTCCTATGGTTTGCCAGGGTGAGGAATCTGTAATTTGGCCCCTACCGATCATTTTTTGACATATCAACCCAGATACGAACCAAGATGATCGTTAAAGATCATATTAATGATTATGATCGTACAATTTACACGAGTGGCTATGTGAACGGTAGGTGAACCAATTATTTAAAAGGAAGAAAATACAAAATAATTATTTAAATTTAATAATAAAGATGAAATCTATTAAAAGTAATTATGCGGATATTTCGATTCTGACAAGAGCTTCCAATGTTCAAATATATTGTTTGAATTATATAGTTCTGCACTTGGGTGCACTTACGTACAGAATCAAGCCTATGACTTCTAACGGCTCGCCGAATCACCCATTTTTTTTTTTTTTTGGTGAGTTCGGCCTTATCTGCACCACCGGCGAAGTTAGGCTCAAGAGAGTATTGATAAGAAGGTCATTTCAGACCCGAACTCATGCAATTTTAACCTAGATACGCTCACTTTCTCGCTTTTTCTTGGATAAATCTAACTCACCCTCACCCCTTAAGCCGGGGAACACACTTACCCGATGCAACGCTATGCGACGCACCCGATGCTACCCGACGCCTTGCCACGTTTTGGTAGGGTGTGCACATCTATGCGACATCAAGCGCACGCCACGTACAGTGACACAGCGTGTATCACAAATCAGTATCACAATCGCGACGCCTCTTTTGTTCTTAATGCATTATTTTGAGCAAAACTTTGTAATAAATTGTTAGTTAAATTTTATGAGCACAACTATGTAATAAATTGTTTGTTAAACTTAATTTGAACTTTTAAATAAAGTTATTCCGGTGTTTTGATCAATTTTCTTCCTAACCATCATAATTAAATAATTTTTATAAAAACTCATAAATTTTTTGAGCTCGTGTAATTTGGTTACATTAAAATAAGCATGTTGTAATTAATATAACGACAAAATTACATATACATAGTTCGAAATAAACTGCAAAAAATATGTGTCCGGTTCTGACGCTACTCAACAAAAACTTGTACTTTTATGAGCAAAACCATGAAATAAATTGTTAGTTAAATTTTATGAGCAAAACCGTGTAATAAATTGTTGATTAAATTGGGTTAAATTCATTATATCACAAAATGGTATTCCAGTGTTTTGATCAATTTTCTACCACACCATTAAAATTAATTTTTTTAAATAAAAACTAATGGATTTTTGATCTCGCTTAATTTGGTTTATATTAAAATAAGTTTGTTGTAATTAATATAACGACAATAATACATGTAGTTTGAATAAAAATATGAGTGTCCGGTTCTTTTGTCTTCGACTGTACTCGATGCTACCCGACGGAAATCTGGACAAGGATCGCGTGGAGTAGGGTAGCGTTGCGTGGCATCGGGCAGATGTGCATGGGAGTAATAAAATCTTATGGTAATTGGATTTTGGATTTGCGTCGGGTAGCATCGGGTAGCGTCGCATAGCGTTGCATCGGGTGTGTTCCCCGCTTTATGCATACAAATAACACTTGTCTAAATGAGGCTCGATGATATTGCACCATCGACGCTCTTGTACTACACACATTCATGCATATAAATACATTCTCAAGAAATTGTAAAACATCTGACACCAAACTTGGTATACAATAATAAGATTGGGGCGTCGGTGGCCGCAAGGTTTAGTCTTGTCGCTCATCACTGTAAGGTAAAGGTCCCGGGTTCTAATCCAGCGGCCCTGCATTCGAACCCGACATACTTACAAATGAGCTTTTTTTCAAAAAACACCGGCACCCTGAGGGTTTATATGACCTCTGCTTTTGCGAACCCTCGTAAAAAAAAAAAAATATCTAAAAATACCGAACTAAGTTTCCTCCCAAAATCAAAATAGGGGACCCAAATATGGACCCTTCAATTAAGTAGGACACATTGAACAAAATTGCTCTATAAGCTGGATAAACATGAGGGTTCTTGTAGTAAGCAACCGTTTGTCAACAGCACATCAATTTTAAGTCGGATTAGAATGATCCTTCCTCTGTGGTTTAGATAGATGGGCTACATACCAATCATGACTGTCCAATTTTAGTCCAAATTTAGAGTTGAATTTGGACTGCTTATGCTATGTTTGATCCTGTTGTAATTTTTTCATTACCCTATGATCTTCAGCCATGCTAATATGTCTATAATTTGTCTTCAGTAATTATTTATAGTAGTTATAATTTCCAGCCAGTTAAGTTGACAAAATCGACCAAGCCGGATAAACCTCGAAATTTTCTGTGCTCATTAAAAATTTATCATTATATGGCTAAGTAATTTTACATTGGTCTACCGTATGAAAATTTTTTCATTAATATTCTTTTACAAATCCTATTCTTCATACCTATGTTTGAAATCTGCTTTAATCTTTGTTGACTTTTCTTCGTGGATATTGATTATATTTGCTTTTGTGGTGGATTGTACACAAAAAGCTGAGCTTGAAAACTAATAATGTTTGTGACAAATCAATATTATTTTATACCTTTTCCTTTTAAAGCCATCGTATTTACGGATCAGCTTGTCTACAAAGAACATTAAATCAGAAAACCAAGGTCCGTTTTTCGTTCACTATTTTCACAAATACGACTGATTTATAACTTAAAGCTCAATCAAATTAAACTAATATGAGAACGAAAAAATAAAACGTTTTTAAGAAGCAGAATTTAACTTTTTGGTGTTTTAGATTCAAGGCTGTTATCTAATGAACTAAATTAACCTCAAAAAACTATAAATGTTCAAACAGCTTTATTACACCAGCGACATTTGTATATAAAATATTTTTTTACTTGCAGTACCGACCGGCGTGGCATTCGACGAGGAAGAGTGATAGAGTCGAGACGAAGATTACATTGTCCAACCGAATTTTCAAATTCTCAACTTCGACGAGTTCGACTTCCAGATGGGCCAATTGTCCGGATGCACCGCGCGGCTCCTCCGATGTCCATAGCAACAATCTTTTACTTTTTACACTGTTATATTAAAACATACCATATACACAAGTTTTTTTTTCTTAATTTCTCCCTTTGACTAGTATTAAAGAGATTGCAACTTTTGTTAGAACGATGCAGAATGTAATTTTTTAATTTAGTTCATATGTGAATTTGTTTTGATAACCGGCTATTTATCGGCCAGGTGATTTTACTAGTAGAAAAGTACAAAAATGATTACACACTTACATTGAGGTTCACCAAAACTAGCCCAGATGGCGATTATGAGCGGAGGGCATTCAGAAAAGAGGTAGAGAATCCAACAAATGATTTCGTAAAATCTGTTGCAAAGGTAGGATACTAAAATTTGATCATTTTAATAATAATGGTTCTGAAAATATGGCAAATCTTCGCCTGTCCTTGAAGCGCTGCTCAAAATCTTAGGATTAAGGTCATCTATACGACCAACTTGTTTTTTTCCATACCATTTTTTTAAAATTATTTAAGGGAACTTACTTCACACCCCGGCTAATAGACAAGAAAACGTTGTCTACCCTTGACAAACGAAAACTTCACAGTGAACAAACTATTGTTGCAAAATTTTATCTCCTTGGATCACTGTGTTCTCTATGCTTCGTGTACTTACTTCATAGCGTTTTTAGTTAAACATTTTTTAAAAACTGTAATGTACAATGCGTTGGCCGAGTGATTAGGGCGTCCGACTCGTATTCTCCTATTTGCCTCGCTAGTGGTACTGGGTTCGAATCCAGGCACAGCCCGTGGTTTTTTAATTGAGAACACTATGAAAGAAATCTTGTGACGTGGTACACATTCCTTACATTACACTTTGCTTCACACTTTATAAAATTGGGTCTCATTTCATCGTTCTCAACCAGAAAATAATAAAATAACACAAACGCACAACTGAAGCTGGCGAAATATTGAAATGCGTCTTACAGATCAAAACAGGCCATTTTTCAAGCCGAACTGCTAGCCATAGAAACACGTGCACATGAAATAAATAAAAAACATTTCAAATGTGCAATAATAATATATCTTTCATACAGCCAAGTAGCTGTAAAGGTTTTCCAAACCTACGAGATCACCTCAAAACTTTCCTGGAACTGGCTAAATACCCTAAAAACTATGAGGGCAACGAAGGCAGCTATGCCACAGATACTCCGCTAAAAAAGAAGCCTCTGAACAATTTATAGGCCAAAATCAATTTTGTGGCGTAAACTATAGTCGTATTAAAAAATGAACTGTAATCTAGGGTTACTAAAAAATGAAAAGTTTTCAAGGACAGCTATCCCAGCTACAATAACATTTTCCTTGTCATTGCGGGGCTCAGTATGGTTGAAACGGATTTATAACAGTAATATAATATTTTATAATGTACCTCAATTTAACTGTTTGCATTGCAAAATATCTATTAGGCCTGAATTTGAAAGTGATACATGCTTTACTGTTATTATGTAGGTTCATTTTTGCTGTAATTTTTTTCTACATAAATTATTTTCCCTGTTTTAGATTTTGAAGAAGGAGGCAATATTCTATTCTATTGAATTAGAACTTCATTGAAAATAAAACAAAAATGGAAAAGATTCAGCCTCAATCTTCGTTGGATTCTGGCCTGCCGGAAATCGAGCCACCAGTAGTCTTACCTTGCGTTTTAGAGATCGTCCAAAAAATTGAAAATTACTCCGAGACGTCCAATTTAGGTACTGTTCGATTTTGGTTGGCAATCGATTCGTTGTTTTATTTTTGTTTTACAGGCAATCGCGTCAACTCGGTGAAAGATTCGATGAAAGACATCAGTTCTGCAGGTTTGACGAAGGAGAAGAAATTTCCGAGGATCGCCCGACCTGCCGAGCAAGAATCGTCAGGGGACAAAGGTGAACAAGGTACATACAAGCATTATTATAAAAACAATGAAATAAATTAAATAGACACAATGACAAGATAGATTGTAGATAGAAAAAAGGTTACATCCAACATACTTAAAAGTTTCTACATTCTTTAATTTTTTAAAATTCTATTTAAATTTGTCAGAGACAAAGGGAGGAGGAAAAATAGAGCCTAAAAGGAACAATAACGGAGGTATGCATTAATTTAAAACTAGCCATTTATTTTAAAATAAAGACATAAACAAATTGGCTTGTTGTATAGACAATTTATCAAAACTACCTTCTAAGGCGATCGATTCTGCTTCAGTGAAGATAAATAATGCAACTTTGTCGAAAAACCAAGCAGAAGGTAAATACTTATACAAAGGTGTAAACATTGTAATTGTCTATTTTCATTTTTTCTTTTTCAACTTCCAAATCTCTCAGTGACCTATCCTCATAATGACCCTTAAGCTTTTTCCTAATCCTAGCTAAAATCTACGAACGACGCCATATTCAACTCCCATAACTCCGTCCCGGTCCATTAATTTAGTCTATAGACCTCTCCATTCTACTGTCCAGTGCACTAAAGTTGACGCAATATCCTCTGCCCTAGAAAACAAGCATTACTGCCCAGCAGTAGGTGTTATAGACACATTTGACAGTGTTTGGCACCCCGATATCCTTTTCCAATTAAAAAGTATTGTTCCTCACACCTAATCCTGAAGTCCATCTTATCGGATCGGTGATTCACGGTGAGAATGGCACTGAGTTTTCAGACATTAAGCTCATCATGGGAATATCCTAAGACCAAGCCTTTTCACAGACTACACTGCCCATACACCCTAACACCATATAACGAACTTTGCATACTACACCGCAATTTATTCACATCCTGACCTTATACTTGTAGCAAAGGCAACCCAAACCACCTATACAACGTCTGGTATACTTGTTGGCGGATCAAGCTAAATGAACATGAAAACATTTACAAGTACCTGCCCACCAGTGCACATGTACAGTAAGGGGATCCCTCCAACCAACCAAATCCACTACCATAAGTAGTCGGACTGGAGACTTAAAAGAACTGAACCGAAGGTATGGCCTACTCAAACGCCTACTTGCACCCAAATCCTCAAAGAGGGTACACAAAGTAACAATATACAAGGCACTAATTAAAACGATTTGGACGTAAGGAGTCGAGCTGTGGGGTTAACCATGCCTTCGAACTTTCAAACAATCCAATCCTTTCAATCAAACGCCGCCGTATTTTCAACACTGCCTTCTATACCACTAACCAAACTGTAGTGGCCACTTGTATTTACCACGTTACCGCTAGATGCCACTACCACTTATGCAATGTTCCCGCCCTCCATTGTGCTGCCAATCAGAGTAGAGCCCTTCCAAATATAAGGAGGCGCACTGCCCCACTGAAACCAGACTCGTCGACACGACGAGGTCTAACCACTAATCAACAACAACAGCAGACTCGTCAACCCGACGAGCTCTCACACCGTCGACGACGGCATGGGTACTCGCAGCATTAGCCTGATTCTCGCCTTCAAAACACAGTCTACTTGGTTATAAACGCCAACTGCTGCCCTTCGGCTAATACTTGCACTCGAGTCCCTTCGGCCACAGTAGAGTCAACCGACTCACGGCCCCCGGACCTCAGACAACACTACCAACGGCGACACTCACACGGTCTCGGCCTTGATCCATCGTCTCGAGGCTACGGAACGACACCGGCCCTTTTCAGGGCCACAAAACTCCCAGTCACTAAACAAACCATCCATAAAGATCTAGATATCCCATTTCTGATGGACATGATTCCAACACGATTCCACAACTTCCACTTCAAGTTCTCCTACCACACCACTAGTTCAAGCCCACTTTTCAACGTCCCATCCTAACAATCCTCCAAGCCGCCTAAAAGACAGTGACCTCGTGAACTCCTAACAACCCTAAACCTCAACCAACAATCCTAAGTACGGAGAGTTTCATCAATGACCGGCTCCTCTCCCCATCCCCATCTCCGTGGTCTGACAGGTTCCTGCTAGGTCTTTTTATTGATCGTTACCAATTGTTTAATGCGTAAATTTTTGTCCAAAAAACAATAATTTTTTTTTTTCAACTTAGGAAGAGAAAGCAATGACGATGTTTTTCATCCAGTAGCAGACAAGTATGGCAGAGGTGAGTTTTATTCTTTATTAAAGCATTATTTTACACTTGCCCAAACTCATTTTCTTCTGAAATATTTTTTGAATTTAAATTTTAATGTAACAATTTAGGAAATATGACTCCGACTTGTCGATCGAAATCCCAACTGTCTAAAGGTAAGGTCTAAAGGTATAAGCCGAAAACAATTTCTATTTAATATACTTAAAACTAATAATGTTTTAGGTCGAGAATTTAAAAACAGTAAAGAAATGATCTATAGCAGTTCATCCACAAAAAGAAAATACAGGAGCAGAAATCATTTACTGCGCGAAAAAAGAAACTTGATGTACAAGTCAATTTTAAGAAAGTATTATTCTTCTCTCAAAAAGTACGTCAAGAAATTCATCGACAAGACGAGAGTGAGTACTATTCATCGAAGTCATCAGGTCGCTATGTTGATAAGGAAGGATCCACAAAATAAAATAGTAAGCTATGAACATCCAATCAAATATTTAAATTAACTAATATTTATTCATTAAAAAAGTTACTATTACGATTATTCATAGTATATTGAGACATTCTCGCTGTAATTCTGATGTTTGACATTGCGTAACTATTAATTACTGCTGAACCGGCATAGGGTCGTCTTCACCCGCGGGTAGACCCGACGGTCTTATAAGTTTATCATGAGTTCAGACATGCAGACCAACACCCATCATCTCTAATAATTATTGACTAACTAATTGTAAACTTTAACGCTGTTTTTGATTTTTTGTTTTTCTAGAACGTTTGTTTTAGGGGCTGACATAATTGTTATGTTAACATAAAATCTGCTCCTTTGTCAAAGAAAAATGCAATACAAATTAACTTTTTCGCACATTTTAATGTCATTGAAGTGTTTTACAAAATACATTGTTATATTTTAGATTCCGCCGTTAAAGGAGGGGGAACTTATCATGCGGAATGTGGAAACTCGGTCGGCGTCCCGCAGGATGAGAAGGAAACGTAACTTGCAAGTGGACGACGATGTTTTCTCCGATGAAAGTTCCGGCCTGGACAAAACGACGTGGAGAAGCTACAGAACTCCGAAACGGCGGAACCATTTTACGAATTGCGGGAAAAGGCGAAGACAAAGGATGAAGAGGCACATCCGACCCGTCAGGATCGACGCTTCTTCCTCCGACGAGACCCCCGTCGCGAAGACGTCTTCCGAAGAAGCTTCGGTCCACGCTCAAGCACCGGCCATTGTCGAATCGGTCAACGACATCGGTTACATCCGTGAGCATCGTTCTGGAGCCGAGGTGCTCCCTGCTCCTGAAACAATAATAAAAAACCTTGAAGAATTCGTCCACGGAAAGAAAAGAAAGAAAATATCCGCTCCCCGGGTATATTTGTTCGGCGTGCCGAAGAAACACCGGAAGGTCAGGAATATCGAATATTATAGCGACGCCGACAGCCTTTTATCCCTTTCGGACGAAGATATCTTCTCGAAAGAGGTCAAAGGAAGGAAAAAATATTATATGAAGCATGTCAAATCACATTCGAGGTCCGTTTTCAAAATGCCGGGAACCTTGATCAGGAAAATTAAAAAGATGTGGAAATTGGAGCAGAACCAACATCTCTACTGCGAAGACGAACAAGAGTGTGAAACGTCGGACGTCATTATAATAAGACAGCCGAAATATAAAATTCGTGACATTCCTCGACACTTCGTGTGCAAAGATTGCGAGATGAGAAGCAGAGGAGCCCTACTGAAAGACCCGTTCGTCTACAACGTCACGAACACCGCTGGGGTGTTTTCCGAAGAGAAAATCGAAAACAAAAGAAATGAAGTTGACGACAAAGAAGCTTCGGGCACATCTGTGATCGGCACGTCGTGTACAAACAACCGCCAATCGACATTGGACGAAAACATTTTGCACAAGCTTATAGGATATAACGGTTTTGAATATCATTGCTTGAGCTGCAAATGCGACGATTGCAAAGTTAGCAAGATTCCGGCTAATTTTAGTAGTAGCCGCAGCAAAACCGGCAAAGACGTTATCCAACCGAGAAACCATTGGAAGAGCCAGGCCGACCTCGAGAATCAAACCAGCCGCCAATGCTGTAGGTGTGCAGGGCGGGATCTGGGTGAAGGTAGAGTCGGGAGAAAATTTATCTTTTACGAGAAGGATTTTTCGCAAGTGCCACCCTCAAAAGAAAAGTCGCCCCTTGCGGCAGCAAACCGTGTCGATAATTGTCCCAGCTCTTCAACACCGGTAGAAACCAGAGATGGCAGTTGTCCCATTAAAGGAGGGACGGACGATGTGTTCTTTTGTGAAGAAAGGAAAATCAGCAATGGATGCATCGCACGAGAGAAGGGTCCGAAGAACTCCGAAAAAGTAAACAGGGGTTTTCGAGCGGGGATCAAAAGAAATAATCGTGTGAATAGCAGGAAGAAAGGTAGATAAATATGCAGAAATAAATGACAAAAAATTAAACGGACAATACTTCCATGTCTTATCATTTCACAACACTCCGGGCCCGTCAAAATAATTAAAAAATAATAGACGTTCAAAGAAACTATCAAAGCAAAAGAAATAATTCTACCAAAAATTAAAGTAAAAAATCTCATTTATGTAACTTTAAAAAAATAGGAAACTGGAACCTATTTTATTTTGGGTAAGTTTGGTAAGACCCGCAGAAACGCAATGCTTGTAACATGATGTCAAGAGGACTAGAGTCCAAAACAGGCAAGCATTTTTATTGATCATTTAACTTCGAATTATATTTCATATATTTTTTTTATATTGATTTGAAATTGTTCAGAGCCTGTAAATAATTTGTACATATTACACATGTGCTCATATGTAATTTTCACACTATGGTTTTCACATGAAGGAGAGATGTAAGAAACAAGGGCAGTGTGGACTCGATGTGGAAGGGCTCGATCACATTACTGTTGCTGTTTCACACTGCTTCTCATCTGGTTGGGTTCAAATCACAACGAATTGTTAATTGAAGACATTAATGTTCATGACGTGTTAGTAGTGAGGTTAGTAGAGTATAAAGAGTTCACAATTCCTTGGAGGACTTTTGAATAGAAACGTTGGATATTGGGTGGATTTGTGGAACCGTTCCATCCTTATATCTAAAGTGGTTAAGTCTTGTATAATTTTAATTGACCTTTTATTGTCAAAACAGACTTTAATGTTTTAAGTAGTCATGTCTGCCTTTTGTTAGTTCTTGTCTCAAGTCTTGTAAAAGGATTCGACATCAGTCTACTGTCTAGCTCTTTATGGCTTAAAGAAGGCTTTAGCAATTTTTTTAAAAGGTTAGCGGCAAATCCCGTGGGTTTAGTAAAGAGAGTTTAGATTGGCGCCAAATAAATCAGTTTTGTCAATATGCAACAGAAACAGAGCAAGAACTGTGTCCGCCCTAAACGTACGGAATTTCTTACTAACCTTGAACAAAATGTCTAAACTTGGCATTGCTCTGAAGCAACTTTGGGCAAGAAAGGGTTAAATTGTAAACTGGATACGAAAAATTTGTGCTTGACAAATATAACAATCCGTGAAGAGCCATGTTGAAGAGAGAACAGATTGCCGCCAAAAAATCAGTGTTGGCAATACACGGGATGAAACATTGACCTAACCTAAATTCATGGGATTTGCTAAGCCAATTGGATAAATTTGGTGTTGCCCTGAGGTAAGAAAGGGCTAGGTACTTAACTTGAAAGTCGGTTGTTCCATACTAATGATTCAAAGGAAGTGCCCGTTTTTTCATTATGGATGAAAAATTTCCGTTTTATCACTTTTTGAACCATTCTTTAGTATAATAAGTAAAGTTAAAGGCTACAGGTAAAACCGGATATTCTCTAAAACTGCGAGCGGTGACTACCGCAGTAGGCAACAATGAACGAAGCCTTTTCACGAGGAAAGAAAATTTCCTATCCACAAAATAAGTTACCTCTGAGATCATAACGGGACGGTCATCAATTACCCATTAGCGGAGAATGAGGAGCCACCGGCCGAATTCGGGCTAATAAAAGGTGGAAAACAATGGATGAGAGCCGGTGTGGTGTTGAATGGACTCCATCGAACCGGAACTTTTCAGTCGATTGTTCTCATCGGTAAAAATATGGAGGATCTCGCCAATCCCGGCCATTAATTTTGATTAATCGCATACCCGGGAGGGAAGAAACGATTAAAAAAACAGCCGGATGTTTCGTTATCCTACAATCGACATACCTCTTTCATGGTCCTTTTCACCCTTGGTCTTGTAAACGTTACGTGACAAGTTAAAGAAAAAATCGGCAATGCTATATCGATGAGGTTTGCTTACATATGGAAAAATTACATATGGCTGTCATTTAAATCTGGTCGAAGTTTTGATAGTTATGATTATTGACTGTAAATAACTTTCTGATCGTATTTACCGTTCAACGGTTGGAAAATATCTGATTTCTCAGTGACGCACGGGGGTCAGAAAAAGCAGTTTTTTAAGTTCCAGGACAATAAGTTTCATAGATAACGTACACGTAGAAATGAAAAAAAAAACCTAGTGGAAAAGCTATCCTGTGAGAGCACTCCAAAATCATTTAATCTCTCGCACTCTTTGAGAGCAGATGACGGTCATTGATGTAACTTCTTTTTAAAGTCGTGGAAGATAGCTTGTGAGAAGAGTTGATTTTGAGGTTAGCGTGGGATTTTTTTCCTGGTTCTTACAACTTTTTTTATGTAAGGATGATTTAGGTAGTTATAAATGGTGCGGTTGGAAACAATGATCAACAAACATCTAAAGATTCGTGATTTTAGGGTCTGATTCCTGCAGAGATTGGAAGGTGGATCTCATAGGTCTATGCTGTATGGCCATATTGGTTTCAGTGTTGATTTGTATTTGAGTATTTTGTTTCAATGTACTGTCTTAAGTAGTCGATATCGATCATTCACTAATATTCTTTTGAATCGGGTATGGGGATTCCAAGTGAGTCGTTTGTCTTGATAGTCATAGGTCACGGATGACGTTTTCGGTGGGAAGGGGGTGAGGTTATAATAGATTGGAGGTAGTGATACGACGGATTGTAAACGTTATGTTTTGGACTTGTTGTGTTCAGTTTGATTCGCCATTTTGTAAGCCATTGTTTAATGGATTATAAGTGTTTCTGGAAGGTTCAGTCATCTATGATAGTGTCGTAGTTGGTGGATAGAATGGCAGTGTCATCAGCACCAGGATAGCGGTGTTGGAACGGGAAGGGATATCAGTAGTCTATACTAAGTACAGTAAGAGGCTGAAGCCGCTACTTTGAGAGACTCCAGCGTTCACCTGTACAACGGAGAGTGTGAGGATCGGACCCAACTCTAAAAGTACCCGGCCTACCTCTAAAAGGCCAGCAAGGCCAGGTGCCAGAATCGACCGAAAGCCTATTCGACGTCGAGAAAAACTCCCGAGGAGCATTATTTTTTTGTCAAGGGAGGATACGATGATGCCCAAACGCGATGACACTCTTGAACAGTGGAATGGTGACGCCTAAATACAAACTGATGTATTTGTTAATAAAGGAGTTTTTCAAGTAGTTTACCAAGAATTAGCGGTAAACTGGTGGAACGATAGGAATTAGGAAGGTGGTGAGGTTTGGGTTTAGGGATTGGGTGAACCACAGAAAATTTCCATGGCGTCGGGAACTTAATTTAATTATTTGCTGTCATGAGAGAGTTTATCTGTTTCTAGGAGTCTTTTAAGTAGTCGGTATCGTCAGTTCAGTTCTATCCTTAAGTCGTAAATAAAAATTCCAGGTCAGTCGCTTGCCTAGATACAGCACAAAGTACCGGATGAAGTTTTCAGTAGGAAGGTGGTGAGGTTATAATAGATTGGAGGTATTGGAGGATAAAGGATATGTTTTGGGATTTTGTGGTGTTGAGATTATTTTTGAATTCACCATTTTTTGATAAATCGTTCTAGGGATAGGCGTGTCTGGAGGTTTGGTGCGTTATACCTTTATTATAATTTATTTATCCTCTTATTTCTTGAATCAATATTCCTGAGCAACATGGGTTCATAAAAATAATTTAGTTTCTTCTAATTTATTAACCTATCTAAACTATATATTTGAATCAACAAACGTCATCAGTTCACTGACTTCTCTAATGCCTTTGACCCTGTTGTAGAAATCTGAAGGCATGTGTTCATTTCCTTATGAAGTAAGGCCAATCGTTCAAATTTTATGCTTCTTCAGGTGTCATTGAAGGCTCTTATCTTGGCCCACTTCTGTTTCTTCTGCTTGTTAACGACATTTCAACAGGCTTTTTCCAATACTACATTTTTACCCTTCGCTCATGTTGTTAAACTATTTAAGGCCATTAAATAAACAATACTTAAGGACAACCTTAACTCTCTTCACACATGGTGCTCTTTGAATACTCTTTCTCTAACTGTCATATGAAATTACGAGATTTACTGCTTTTATCTTCATCTACTCTATTAATAATGAAACTTTCACAATCGAATATTTAGAAATTCACTTTGATTGTTGAATTAAAATAAAGTTATCCTTCAAATGAAATATATCTAAAATTTGGTCTAAAGTTGAAACTAATGAAAATTTTGCATATTTACAAAAAAAGTTAAGGTTGTAAAACACAAGAAAAATGTTTTAAAATATTTTTCAATTAATTAAGGTTTTTAGTTAAGATAAAAAAGTCAGTGTCACGAGCGGGATTCGAACACACGATCATCGGCTAGATACGCCGGTGCTCTACCACTTGAGTTATCGTGACCTCGATCCACTCGGACACTAACTTCCCATCTGAACCCCACCTTTTGAGTTTTCCCTCCTATTTGCCATTTTTCAAATGTCGTGTAATCTATTTGATTCTCGGCGACAAATACGACAACGATAGCTCAAGCGGTAGAGCAGCCGAAGATCGTGGATTCGAATCCCGCTCGCGACACTGACTTTTTTATCTCAACTAAAAAGCTTAATTAATTGTAAGATATTAATTGGTCAAGCGGACCACGAAATCTAGTGAGTTTTATAATATTGAAAATTATTCCCATCTTTGTATATTTTGTCTAATATTATGTCTCCAATATTTTAATTATTTTATACATAATTACATAGTTTATCTATACGTTGTGTATTTATGTATAAAGAATGGCGGAGTCGTGAAGGAATATAAGCATTATATTACTTAATACTTACGGCTAAAGTAATGGGCTGAGGACGCTACCCTGAGGGACGCCGTTCAAAGGAGTGAGAGGATCTGACATACATTCTTAATATATATATATATATATATATATATATATAATTATATTATAATTCTTAATAGTATAAAGGTAAATGGTTTTTAAATTATTAAAAAAAAAAAAGGTTAACTACAAGGTCAATTGAAGTACTATCTGCAATTTGCTGATTGATTTGGATAATTCACTCACGGTTGAACTACTCAAACGGGTTTAGACATTGCGCCATCTTCAGTGAGGAATTGTGGAAGGAGGAGTGTGAGTA